TTGAACCGCCAGCCTTCTGGTTAGCAGTCAAGTGCCTTACGCACTATGCTACCAGAGCTTCGTATTGTTATTATAGTATATATATGTAATATATAATTGAATACGATAATTGTTTCCACAGGTTATGGTGCATCCATATATATGTATATGTTTAGGTTTTGCAAATGATTTAAAATATGTATATTCTGTCATGAAGAATGTTTATATTAAATGAAAAAATCAGGATGTACATATCCCTGTTTTGTAAAAAAAAAAATATGTTTGTATTTATGTATGGGAAAGAAAAGAAGTTGGAATGTTGACAATGTTTATCTGTAGGTGATAGAATTGTGGAATATTCTTGTTTCTTCTTTTTCTGTTTTTTCCCCCTAAAATGTTTATAATCAGCGTGTATTATTTTAATGAAAACTTTTATTTTTAAAGTGTTTTTGAAGAGTTTTAATGGCACTGAAAAGTGCACACAGAAACTACATATAAATTATAAGTCTCATGCAGTATAGATATGTGTAGAAAAAAGATTTGAAAGAAATTACTAAAGTGTTAATATGTATTTTTGTGTATGAAAAATGTATGATTTTCATTTTTGTATTTTTTGCCTAATTTTTTTTTTTCTAAGGTGAGAAAAATATAGTCAGAAAAAATGTTTGAAAACAAAGACTTTTTATTTGGTCTAATTTTGAGAATATACCATACTCTCCTTAAGGGACTGCTTAGTGGGAGATAATTATGTAGCCTTATAAAACATTGTTTTTTTAAGTAAATAGTACTTAAACCTGGACAATGACAAAAGGTGATTTCTTTTCCTTTTTGAAAATTTCAGAAAACTGGTAACTCTTAATTTGAGTATTATAAAAAACGATTGTCTTTTAATTATTGAAAGCAATATAGCTTTTCTTATTGGCTTATTATAAACTAAAATTGAGGGGTTCTTGACCTCATTTTTTTTAAATTGTGATTTGGGTGAAAGTTTACAGAGCAAATTCACTTTCCATACAGCAGTT